GAGATTCAGTGCGACTCAAATTTGAAGGCAAAATTCATTGAAGTGGGTGTGCCTGAATTTTACAAATATTTACCGGCAAGGTTTGAAAATACTCGAAAATTCGCATATGAAATTATTTCCATGTTTGGAAGTACTTATCAGTGTGAGCAATTATTTTCTGTTATGAATGGAAATAAATCTCCTGTTCGAAACCGTATTAATAACGCTCACTTTGGATCAATTTTGAAAGTAGTCTCGGCCAATAAAATTTCTCATAGGGAGATATTAGCAGAAAAGAGATGTCAAGTATCAAACAATAATTTAACTTTATATATGTTTATTACAATGTACTATTCAAAATAAAAATATTTATTTCTATGAACATATATTTTTTTTTTGCGGCCCACCTAAAGTAAAGCATTGTTTATTTGGCTCAAGTTAGCTTTTGAGTTTGACACCCCTGCTCTAAAGCAATAAACCCGTGTAAAACGATTTTTTTTTTTGTTAAATTTCAACCTTATTTTCTCCATTTATTATTCGTGTTTTTTGACAAAAGAAGACTCACTGCTGGATTTTCGTGCTTTGGACTCAATGCATACTTCGTGGGTTGAATTGACAGTCAAAAAAATGAATAAACAAACAAAAATATCAGATCAATAAAAATGGTATGTTTACGATCTTATTTTCTGTATTTATTTCAATTGTTTTTAATATTTAACCACCATTAACACTCTGCAAATTAATTTTTGGCATAACATCTAAAGTTAATACATATATAACATTTGATAAAAAAAAATCTCATTGTGTTCCCTAAGTATGTAGGTATAACACTATATTTGATCCTCAAAATATTGTTGCAGCGAGGATTTACTGTATAAGACTTTTTTTTTTTAAATTCCATTGTTATTTTGAGGACATGATATTTTATTTAAATGTTATTTTTTTTATGTCTATTCGAGGCATTTTTTGAGGTCCTCAACACAAAATGTTCTCCCAAAAGTGGGGAACACCGGATGGGTGGTAATAGCATCCTCTATCACACATCAATGAAGGAGCGCATGCGCAATGATACGTGTCGGGAACAAAAGATGTCCTCAGCTCGCCGCCATTGAATCCTCTTGTCTTGCGGGGAAGACAACATTTGCTCGAACACTTCATCTCAATCTCGATGAGGGTAAGTTCTTCTTCAAGAGACTCTAAGTTATACAGAGATGATCTAAGTTTTTCATGCAAATTCTGCGGTCATGGCGCACTAACCTGATTTAAATAGGGAGCAAAACGAAATAATTCCATCAATACATTAGTCTGTTAAATATAATAGAAAATGAATAGTTGTGTTATTTTCTCTTTCAATCTTGATTGTTTCTTACATATATATTTAATAATTAATTTTTTCTTTTAACAATCTTCGTTTTCAATTTTGTTTTAATCATTTATTAAAAATCTTTTTTTTTTTTAAATTTTATTTTCTTGTTTTCTTCTGTTGTCTGTGTTTTCTTTGTAAGTTTATATATATGTGTGCCTATAAATATATTCATATAGATATATTTATAAGAGGCAACAGAGAATAAAAGAAACGAGAAATTTTATGACAAAAATTAAAATTTAATAAATTTATTAAGTAGTTTAACTTAATTACAGAGCTCAGTATTATTGATAAAAAAATAATTCAATCGATTAATTCAATAGAATTCAATCGTAAAATAGTGTTAAAATTTGTGTTTTAGATATTGTAGATGATTTCGATTTAAGACTGCGAAAAGAGAAACTATTGCATGCTTTTACACAAAACAATTTTGCCATATGGTTTAAATGATATTTTCCAACATACACAGATTTGTTCCTCACTATTTAATATTAAAGATAAGGATAAACTGGGCTCAACATTAATAAAACTCTCTTAAAAATCGCAAAAGTAAATTTTCTTTCTAACGAGGAGAAAGATTTTATTTTCGGCCATTAAATGATGACATATATCGACTTCGATTTCTTATCAGCAACATTTTTTTCCTTCTAATTTACACTTTTGAATTCTTTGCTTTGTACTTATAAAAGCTATTTGATGAGTTTATCTTTTTGATAAGTATGAGTTTCATATTTTATTTAAAAATGTATGGAATTGCACTAAAAGAGTTCAACCTGATTATAACTTAATGAATATAATAGCATTTTTCATAGACCTATTTTTAATTATAATAATACTAGCAAAAATTTAGGAAAAATGGATTTATTTGATTATGAATTTTACTGAGTGGAAGAGAAAATATAATATTATAAACATATTATTACTAATAATTTAAATATTATAGAAAATTTAGAACTGAGAGATTAAAATGTAAAATTAATAATGTACAATTAATAATGTACAATTTTCATACAGTCCAAAATGTCCTTAAATTCCTTTTAAGTTTAGAACAATCACTTGTGGATCTAATACTTAACAGAACATGGCACTATTTCCTCTAACTACTTAAATCAAATTGTTAACAATATCATCAAAGAAGGTTTTTCATGAATGATCACTAATATTCAAACGATTTTAGACTTTATTAAGCAAAATAAAATTTATTCTATCGCGATTTTTGCTTCCCAGGATCTTTACAATAGCATTCCCCTTTCTAAACTATAAGATGTTCTTTTGAGACTATGATTATAAAAATATCCTTTTTTTTCTGTGATTATGAAAATACCTTTAATTGCAAATTTGATTATGGGGAAATTCTAATTGATATTTGTCTTTTTAATAATTATCTTTACAATAGAATACATATTTTTATTCAAATTGATGGAATACGACAAGGATCTAATTTTTCATCTCTCCTAGCTAACTTATTTTTACACTGCTAGGAAGAAAAGTTATTCTCTTAATATTGAATTTGTTTTTAGATTTATTGATGATTTAATTATCTTTAATTTTTAAAATTATACTATTTTGTTAAATAATATTTACTCCGAGAAATTCATTTTGCTTCGTCGACGATAATACTAATTTTTATTCTTTGAATATTAAAAGGGATTTACACAATATGATTTTAAATTAAATATAAATAGACTTCTAATTTTTAATCAAATGAATTGAATTAAAAGAATAATGAGGGACGTCATTGTGACACTAAATATTGGTAACACCTATCTTAATACAAAACCTTATCTTAGTTTTAAAAGATACAGCTGAAAAAAATTGACTATTTAATTTGTGGAAATATTGTGATTACAAAACAAAAGCACGTGGCTGAATTATTAGACGCGCAATAGGATTAAACGTAAAATCTTAATTATCAGGTAATACTCTATACAGCTGCATTGTTTTTACGCAGCTAAAACCGGTTTATATTTGTTAATGTTTTTGTATCTAACATTATAATGCAATACGTTAAATATAAATAATAATAGGAAGTATATAAAAAAAAAATTCTGAATGAAAACCCGTTACATGTATGTTTAAATATAAAAGTATTGCACATAAACTCGTGCAAAACATGCCATTATTGAAAAAAATACGGTGCGTCTAATACTTTGGTCTATTTATTATAATGTACTAATATAATACAGTAGGGAACCGATTATCCGGAACGATCGGGACCATCGCTATTCCGGATAACTGATTTTTCCGGTTTTCTGAATTGCTACAAAAAGCCGTCTTTTTCATTGTTAAACCCAACTAAAAAAAAAAATTTTTTTTTTCGAAATAATCTTAAAAAGAAGAAAAAACGATGAAGTAATACACTAATGATTATTTCCAAAATGATGGTAAGGTAAACATCTTTCAAAATAGAAAAAAAAATCCTAAAATCTTATGAGGAAAAAACATTTTTTTTAAAAAATGGAGGGAAAATTTATCGAATTTCGTTCCGGTTTTTTGGTTTTCCGGTTTTTTGGTTTTCCGGTTTTCTGATTTCCGGATAACGGGTTCTGTACTGTACCTAATATAATAAATATTCTATAATATATCGTTTCATGTATCCAATCGTCGAATTCATATTATATGTCGTTTAATTTAACCTATTGATACACTAACGTAAACAAGTACAAACCGGTTTCAGTCACATAAAAACAATATAGCTGTATAGTATCATCTGATAATTAAGATTTTGCATTGAATCTAATAATGCGTCTAATAGTTTGACCACGGACTGAGTATTTCTTCAATTTGTCATAGTTTTGAAACATGCAGATAGATTATTTAAGTTGAAAAGACTGCGAAAACGATGTAAAGTTGAATGTTTAATTTGTGGAAATATTTTTGATTGCGATTACGAAACAAAAGCATGCATATATGCCACGATGGAGACAATGTGTCGATTAAAATGTTGGGCGAATCTTTAAATCATTTCGATGCAGGGAAAAAAACGTGAAGACTAGTTCAAAACGCGAATTACTGAAGGCAATTTGGAAATAATCGTTTCAATTTCGCCCTTTTATTCAAAAATATAGAAAAGTGAAAGTCAAATGGTAATGTGTTTTAATGGAATGTCTAATACGACCCCGTTTTCTTAATTCAATAAATAACTGTAATTTTAATAAATTTTTAATTATGCAACAATTCTTTTTTAAATTTAATTCCTGAGTTCTTTTATTGAAGCAATAAAGTAGTTAACTTTATTACAGTTAAAGAAATACCTCCTTATGCATATTTTAATTTTTCCCTTTTCTAAACTGAAAGGTGTTCTTTTCAGTAATTCCTGCTATTGTAAAAATAACTTTAATTACAAATTTGATTACTGGAAAATAAATTATATATATATATATATATATATTAAATCAAAATAACCCCTGCTATATATATGTTATGACGCCCGGTGGCTGAGCGGTAGCGTTTTGCGCTGTAGTGCCACAGGTCCCTGGTTCGATCCTCGGCCGGGCAAGGTTGACTCAGCCTTTCATCCCTTCAGTGGGTCGATAAATGAGTACCAAGCATGCTTGGGAACTAAACACTGGGGGTTCC